TGATGAATTTGGGCATTGAAAAATATTTGTGTCATTACCTTAAAAAAAAAATTGTCGTTGGGACGTATGAATACAAACTAAATAATTGCTTTTTCTTAAAATCTTAGATCTTCGAGTGAAAGATCGGAAATTTTAAGAAAACGCGATTGCTTAGTTTTATCCATTAAGTTCTTTTCCACAGTGGCACACATTTTTTGTCATTTTAATGCCTAGTGCAAATTCGGCATTATACTAGCATTACAAATAATGGGCACTTAAAGTATTTACTGAGAATATTATACAAAATCGATAAATACGTTTGGACTTTTATTGACTTTTAATTCGTATTTTATTACCTTATTTAAATTTTATTCATATTCCTATATTGTTTGTATGGATGTACCTATCTAAGTATTTTTTTGAGTACTTAAAAAGTGAAGCATACGAATGTTTCCTGGCCGGAAATACACACTCTTACATAGCACATACAAATCTGCACGTACGAATTTTGTCTTACATACACCTGTTTATATAAATTTACATATGTATATCGCACACAGTTTCAAAGGCAACCTCAATTGTACACCTCTTCAGTCAAGTGCCAAATGTCATTAGACAAGACAATTTTTCCCAAACGAAATTACTATTCATCGCTGTGTACTTATCTTTCTGCAGACACAGCTTTTCAAAATTTCGCTCGTTCGTCGGCTCCGAAGTGATGCCATGCTCAGTCTGCAATTGATACCCCAAACTGTAGCCCAAATTTGCTACAATGCGTCGCGTCGCCATCTTCTCATTCACTTTAATTTAACTCCGCTCTTCTACTTGAATTGAAATCTGACGATGCCAGAGTCGTTGACAATCTTCTTATGTCACCTGCAATTCGCTTTTGTCCTCATGCTTATTTTTCATTTTTTCTTCTTCTAATTCTCAAGCGCCAACTTTCTGCCGAGATTTTGTTAGCATTTCACTTACTTGTTCTACGAATTTGTAGCTGTTTTCTTTTGTTGCTGCATACGCTCTGTTCTTGCGTTGTGAAATTTCTTCACAGTGGCTTCTCATCGATACAATTAAATATTTAAAATTTCAAAACAATCTTATTGTTGCATTTTCTCGTTTCCTTTTTTTTTTCTTTTCTGCATTGTTATTTAAACTTATTTCAGCTTTCATTATCCTCTTATTTCGCCTTAATGCTGGTGATTGCTGGTGTAAAGTGGCAATGCCGACGACGATTTGTATGACAGGAATGTACATAAATAGTTATTTCTGTCGGTGCTTTAATTTAACTTGAAATTTTGGAAATATTAATTCTTACAGTCTAGTGAAGCTTTTGTAATGTCTCAACTTATACTGTTACAATTGCTTATTTTAAATTTGAGTAGACTCACTAGTCAAGAGCAAAAACAAGATAAGATAGAATATCATTTTTGGTTATAGTGAATTTTACTGTGGAAGTTCGTAAGTTAAAAAAATTGCCCCTTGGCCTTAACAACTTATGCAGTAAACTTCCCATCAGGTAATTTTAAAGATTTTTAAATACATAATCGTGTTGGCTTCATCATCCAAAACGCTGCTGGCGTCCATGTTTCTGCGCCATATAGAGAACCGAGCATGATGAAAGATTTATAGAGCGTAACTTTTATTCCTCGAGAGAGAGAAAGCTCCGACTTTTATTTTCATCTGTCTAGTCAGATGCTTGTCTGAAACATACATTCAAGCATATCTAGATCGGTGATGGACATCGCCTTGCCCGCGGGCAAAGCTCTTTTAAGCTTTCTATAGATTTTGTATAGTCGTAAGCAGAGTAAAAGCTCTCTCTGCCCATCGCTGATCTAGATAGATATTAATTTGAGGTGGGGACTGCGAAGTTAATGTCAATTGTACCCACTTCTCTTCTCAACAATTCTGTTAGGCCTAGGGCCATCAAGAAGTTCAAAAGGTCTTTATGGGGTAGAGAAGAAAATGGTGCTGAGTCAGAGATCTCCTAATTTGTGCAAGTGTTCTCGCAACCTGCAGTCTCCTACATATGTAAATTATTTTACAGGATGTTGCATATAAGTCAAGAATGATAGAATGCAAGATTGCGCCAATCGAGCTGAGAGCAAGCGGGTGTGACGGCATGCAAGTTAGAGAATGCGAGAGTAAAGAATAATTTAAAAAAAGAAGAGAAAGAAACGAATATATGTTGCGAATTTGTCCTACTCTTCAGCCACTTAAATTTGAACGTATATTCGGTACAAGCACATTCGCTTAGGTATAACTCATCGGGAAATTTTCCCTTCTTTTAGTGCGTTTTCAGGTATAGAAATTCCAATAGCCTTCTCCGTTGTGAAGTGACATAAATATTGATTAAAACACAAGTTTGGCTTCAACTTTTAGAGCCATTTTATCTAAGTAAGTTTGAAATAAGCTGGCACAACCCGCTTAAAAAATGTTTTATAAACAAAGCTTACTTAAAGTTCTCTCTTAAAAAGTATTTTAGAAATATAGTTCTTGAAACTTTCTCTTTTGAAAGCCATATCCGGACATTTTGACTTGTCAATCATATAAATTTTTAACTTCCAAAGTGGCAAAAAAATTACTCCCAAGATAAAGCCTTTTGAACTTTTATCCAATATTAAATAAAAAAATAAAAAAATAAACCTTGTTAAAGCACTTTTACTTGGCATCTGTGAGCAAATACATATATTAAAAGCTAGAAGCCTGGTTAATTACATATATTTCACCTTTATGATCAGATGGCAACCCTCTTCAAAAATAGTTTAGCAATTAAGCTTTCTTAAACCTCTCTCCTTTAACACTTATATCAAAATATTTAATTTTACTTTGTTATCTGAATTGATTTTGAATTTCTAAAAGGTGGCAAACCTCACCCAACATATTTTTGATACCTATAAAGGTTTCCTAAATATCTCCCGTTCGGTATCCGTGTTAAAAAATTTCGTTTAACTCGTTAGTCATATTTGTTTTGAATTTTCGAATAGGTGGCAACACTTATTCAAAAATAGTTTAGCAATTAAGCACATTTGAAACCCGTATTAAGATATTTTATTTTATTTGTTACATTTTATTTTGAATTTCTTAACACGTGGCAACCCATTAAACAAATTTGTTGGAAGTGCAGCTTTTTTAGACATCTCTCGTTTGACACTCATATCAAAAAATTCATTTTGATTTGTAAGTACTATTGATTTTGGATTTTTAAATAAGTGGAAAACCCCGCCAAATATATTTTCGATACAAAGTTTTCTTAAACACCCCTCGTTCTATACCCGTATTAAAATATTGCGTTTCATTTGCTTATTAAATTTGTTTTCTTAATTTTTGTACGCATTTAGTACCCGTAACTTATATATTTGTTTAAACTTGTTACATAAAGTTACTTTCACTTATTTAACAGGTGGTAACACTTCTCGAAACTATTTCTAAATAAATCGTTATTCAACCCATCCCTTTGATAACCACGTTTTTGTAATATCTTTTAAAATTAATTGATTTTAACTTCAAAAAGGTGGTAACCCTCCTCAAAAAATATCCTATGCATTTATCCAGGTTATACCTTCTTTGTGTGCTAAATTTCATTGAAATTCATCAAGCCAGTTTAGCGTGAAAGAGCAACAAACATTGTCACACACTCGCACTCTCACTTACAAACTTTCACATTTACATATAATATTAGTAGAAAAGTAAAAAAAAAATTTTAGTCAAGCGTATCTTTCCAGTACGAAATTATGAAGAGGAAATCTTTGTAAAAATCTCTATCTCCTCTGTCAAATTTTTCAAAACCTTTTTTGATTACCATACTCTTTCTTTTTTTGTAAAATATTTTCACTTCAATATTTCCGTATTAAAAAATTTCTCTTACTGCAAATAAGTACCGATTTTCATGAGAAGATTCACCTTATTGCTTTAAGCAATCTGTCACCTAAAATGCTTTCAACTCGGCCAAATGTCGTACTTTCATTAACAGCTTCCACTTTATCCAACGAATTAACAAATTTTCTGTTAAGTTAATTTGTTTGGTAAGCAAAAAAGTGTTAGTGAGGCCACTTCAAAGGCATACGAGCTTAATCGAGGCGGCCTTCTACGCTCCCCAAGGCCGCCACTACTATGTCACTTGTCACCTTTAGCTGTGCTTTCAGTTTATTTAATGGCTGAAATGGAAAAAGTTTTATGTTCTAAGCGGTGCGAAAGGGACTTCAACGTTCGCTTACCTGTCAACTTTTCATCAACATCGCCGTTGAAGAAAAATAAATATAAGAGATGAAGGTTAGTAATTCCGAAGGCATGCGAGCGTAAACTTTTAAGTAACTGCATTTATAAATAACTACTAACAAGCTAACTTGTGGGTGTGATAAATGAAATTGTGTTTATGTGTTAATATTTTGTTGCTGTTGCGTTATCTTTGGCAGTTTCAGCCTGTCGGCATTGATTAATTCACTTTCAAATATCTTTAGACTTTAGTCTTGAAGAGATAATTCAAACAAATTAACACAGATTTTATTTTTTCTTTGTTGAGTGGTGATTGGGTTAACAGGGCAATTCTGGCTAAGATAGTAAACACAAAAGTCTTACAAAAAAAACGCTGTCTCATTCACCACTCGTAGTGAAAATCTATTTTGAGAGATTTAGCACTGGACATCTTAAACTCGTGTACATTACACTTTTCTCTCCCACTTTTCAAAACAGTATTGACTTATTTGCCCATTAAGTATCTATTTATTGTATCAATTTTCCAACTATCAACCATTAGGCCTTGCCTTTTGTGCGCAACTGAAATGGCTATTCAGTATTTAAATTGCAATTATTTGCGATTACTTTTAGATCTCTCCCACTTTACAAAACAGTATTGACTTATTTGCCTATTAGGTATTTATGGAATCAATTTTCCAACTATCAACCATTAGGCCTTGCCTTTTTGCGCCACTGAAATGGCGATCCAGTATTTAAATTGTAATTATTTGCGATTACTTTTCAATTTGCAAAACCGATTCATTTGTCAACAAATTGTCGTACTTTTGTCCAATTAACTTGCCATTTCCTACGCAGCCTTGCCATAGTTGCATTTAATAAACTTAACGTCCACCCGTGGCGCTGTATAAAAGCCATGCATCCCATGAGCCAGCTTACAGGCAGCGCATAAAACCCGTTACAAGTGCATATAACAAGCAAGCGCGCAAGTCAACAGCGGAAGAGCCAGCCAGCCATAAAATTCAACAGGATCAGCGCGATGAAATGCTGTTGCCACCGCATACGCACGTTACCACTTTGTTGCAGCTTTTAAGTAAGTTAACTACGTAGTCGTCCCATCAGTCGACTGCTGAAAATAAATGCTGGACTGTTAACACCAAATTTACGTACTACCTGCAACGTGAATGCGGCAACTTTACATCATAGCGGCGAAATTACTACCTCACTCATTCGCCACTGCCGCTGTCATACTCCCACTCACATATATATATTTTTTTTTTGTTTTTTTCTCTTGCAGTCCAAAGGTATTTCGCTCAACTTACCTCCGTCTTGATTGTTCATGATGGGGTGAGGGAGAACGGTGTCGGAACCGCCTTGCAGCAAGAGTACCTTGAGGCAGTGCAGTTGGCATTCCGCAATCTGTCACAGCAAGGGCACTTAATTGGTCTGCAATGGATTGATGTCAGTCAACTGAATAGGAGAAGCAACAGCAGCAGCAGCAGCAGCAGCACTTGCATCGGAAGCAAAGCCCAGAATGTCAGCCGCAGTAACAGCAAATGCACAGGCACCAACAACGACGACGATGGCGATGACTACGACGATGAATTGGAGCTGCATTTGCTACGCGCCGTTAACCACGTGACCGAGGTATGTATGTATGTATCTGTGCCGCATGACAGTCACTACACGCTTCCTTGCCAAACAACGGTAATAAAATATGCTCGGCTGTAACATTCAACAGTCACCAATTACGCATTTATGGCCTTTCTGATAAAATTATACATGCGTACATATATGTACATACATTCGTGTACATGCATTCAGGTAAATTTAGCTTTCACCAGCGCCCACTCGTACATTACTTCAGCTTGCATGCAAACGTATAGTACATATTTGGAAACCGCGTTTTTATTTTCTTTACTTTTATATTTATTTTTGGTATTTCGCTAAATGCGTATTGTTGCAGGGCTTCATCACCATTCTACCGGGCAATGTGCGTTTCCTGCATGCCCGTTACTATGCAACACGTAACGCTGATCTACGTCTCAAAGATAAATTTTATCTGTTCTTGTGCGAACATGAAAATCCAGCGGATTTGCTTTCTACAGAAATATTGCAATGTAAGTGAATGTTGTAGTTAACTATACATATGTACAAAAATAGGTGCACGTCAGAGGTCTGCATAAATCCATTTAAAACGGCGCATCATCCATTCATCTTCAAAATGAATGACTGAGTTTGACATTGATTTTTGTTAGAATTTGGATGGTAATCTGTTTTGATAACAGAGTCGGATAAAAGAAACAATTGTTGTTTGTTGCATGTAAGAAAATTTATCTTAATCTTTGTTTTGAAGTTAATCCTGATTTTAGTCTAAATCTTAATCTTTATCTTAATCTTAATCCTTATTTTAATTGTAATTTTATTCTTAATCGTAATTTTAATCTTAGTCTTAATCTTAAACTTATACTCAATTTTAATCTTAATCTTAGTCTTAGTCTTATTATTTATCTTAATCCTAATCTTTTATCATGATCTTAACCTTAGTCTTCAACTAAATCTTAATTTTAATCTTTATCTCAATGCCAATCCCAATCTTAATCTTTATCTAAATATTAATTTTAATCCTAATATTAATTGTAATCTTAAACTTAACCTTATTCTTAATTACAATATTAATATAAATCTTAAAATTAATGTTAGTCTTTATCTTTAACTTCTTCATTTACTTTATCTGTTCCCCTGATTCTTCCCGCACGCTGGGGATATAACAGACCGCACGTTCCTTTCAATGTAACAGTAGAGACCTCCACGCAAAGCATTGGCTGAAAAGCGGTATTAAAAAGGGCAAGTCCCTTTTGGAGATAAGCTGGGAAGACATTATCTAGTCCATGTGCTTTGAAAGACACTGAGGCAGTTACAGCCCGTCGAAAAGGGTGAAGATGGTAAAATTTGTGCTCGGTAGTAAGCAATCAGAAAACTGCGCTTCGGCTAGCAAGTTGATAGGAGGAAGGATACCTCGGATCTTTTCAGGAGCGTTTTTGTCAGGGCTCTTTGGATTCTCGCACTTCCTGTAAGGTCCATCGATTACTGTACAGAAGTGAATCCATTAGTTCCTTTTGGTCACAGTAAATTGGTATATCTCGCGCGTCCTTTATTTATTTTCTCTCAACTAACTATTTAATGCGTTATTGTACTCTTGTTTGGACCCTTCGGCTAGAGAGAATTTTGTTTTATTAGTTACTGCAGCATACCGGTTATTGACTTTCCCCCTTACATAACCGAATGGGGCCACGCATCCCCATCTATTCTGCTAGGTCACCAAATGTATATACGAAGCTTACAACATTTCTTTTATTAAAACTTCACCAGCAAACGGCAGTTTCAATACTTTCCGCTCCCTTACTTAGTAAATACTATATTCCCAATTTTATTTCAGTTTACCCTCATCACTTAATGGTTACACCGGAAATACCTACAGCAGTGCAATCGGCCAACAAACAGCGTAAAACCGAGAAGTCACTTAAAAGTACGCTTACAAAAATGCCCAATACATCAGCAACAAAAGTAAGCCACAAGCGCTCCACCAGTAAGCCAGCACCTGCTTTATCTCCATCCATGTCGAACATTGTCGCATCGCCGCTGTTACCCGCCGCTTACCGCAACAACAGCATCCAACTGTGGACACAAAAGTACATTGGTACCAATGGAAATTTGGATGTACTGCTGCTGGACGTATTCTGGCCAAACGAAACTTTTGCACGGAATGTCGAACTTTTCCCCAACAAACTTAACAACATGGAAGGACGCACAATACACGTTGGCACCACTACCTACATACCGTATGTGGTGTCTAATTATGTGGTATGTAATTTCCAGTTAAGTCTTTATTTATGTATATACTTACTCGTCGTCGTACATCGGTCGTGCGCGGTGTGTGGTGTGTCGGTGCGAGCAGTAAGCGTGCAGTAAGTTAAGTTGGTTAAGTGCAGGGGCGTATATAATCCGCTTGGATAGATTGCAAGTGGGCGGCAGGAGTGTGGAAATTAAAATGTAAATACATGTTAGGGGTGGACGCATGGTAGGAGTGTTGTCAAGTTGTTTGCTGAGATTGTTTGTATAATGTTGTGCGAGATAAGTGCAGCAGTAATTCCAGCATTGACAAGTTGAAAAGTTTTGTTCACACTCAATTGTTGACTTAACAAGTATGTAGGTATGTACATATGTCAGTTATGTATGTACGTACATGCGTATGTCCTTGCGTGCGTACCAGAGAACACGTGTAAGTGCTTGTAGCTATTTGCCTCAACTTGTTTATTATTGGCTTATGTGTTTATTTTGTTTATTCGACTATGCTGACTTAACTACTACTGATGTGCTTACGAACTTATACATTTATGTACATATGTATATACAGACATACATATGTATATGTATGCTTTCTGTGACCTCGTTAAGTCTACAACTCGGTCGATTTAAATTACTTATGTTCTCTAATTTAATTGCTAATCCAATTGGGTGCATTGTTGTTACAGTTGTATGCCATCCAAACGATTATGGTCTACCTAAATAAAGTTGGTCAGCAGATAAGTTTTTGATGGCTCATTAAACATTAGACATTATGTTATATGTTGCTTATACGCTTAGGCGTTGTTGTAATTTTGTAATTGTTTGTTTAATAGGCAGACTTCAACTTTCCTAAGCCTCTCAAAGATGTACATATACCTGAATTTAAGTTTTGTGAAAAATAATCGATATTTTAGCAATATCTCCAAACTTATTACTATAAATATACACATGTACAGTAGCGGCCACAACAATCCGGGCAGTGTTAATGTAAAATTAATGAAATCAATTTTCGCACATTGACTAAGAATCCGATGTAAGATTAACGAAATTCAAAATTGCCAATCAGTGATGACAGTTACCAAAATTTAAGTGTATGAGAATATCATTGAAAGGTAGTATTCAGTAGATTTCGGTGGTGTAGGCTATGAATATCTATAATGTCAGATTTTGTCAGTTTCATAGTGAGCGACCCCTGAAATTCGGGGGTAGCAATTTTTGAAAATCTTGAGTATAAATTTATATTTACGCTCTAAAAAAATTTTTCTTTGAATTCGCGCATATTGAGACAGGTAACCAGTTTCCTCTCTTAATGAATGCAAATTTACATACCATGTTAATTAAATTAAACACGAGCTGTTTACTTTTAAATACATAACAAATTTGTTGCGTAGAGCAAAATTACACATAAAATGTGTAAAATTAACTAAATATGAGCACTTAATATTTATTATTAGTAACACATGTAATTTTGATATCAAAATTTTTGCAATTTTAAACGTTTGATGTGTATATTTTAAAAATTTCAAATTAAAAATCAAATCTTGAATATCTTTTGTGTATATATACACAGATTCCGGTTGAAAAATAAACACTTTTCAGTAGTATTTTTACATGCACTTTTTGGAGTGTAGTAGCCCCAATAACCTAATGATACCTACTTTTAAGCGGTTTTGTAAGATTAATAGGAACGAAATTTCGGATCTAACCATTTAGCTATAATGACTCATACTTACGACATAATACCAAAGTACTGCAAATTAAAACTGGTATATCTCCAGAAAGAAAAACCGAGTCGTAACAAAC